GTCTGTCTTTTATTCTATTTTTCGTAACTAGGTCTACCCCTGCTGGGGTACCGACCGACAATATGTGCATTAAGGGTTCTAACTAAGTTTATGATTTACTTATAACATTCTCTACATCCTACCATATAATTCATATTAAAAAAAAACATAAATATCATAACGTAAAGACATGCATACATCATATCACATCAACACCTTTTCATAGAGTATCATGTCATGCATCATTTAAAGCCCACCACATTAAATATATCACAAAGATCATACATCCCTCATTCTACATGAGTTATACCTGGCAAGGACGGAGCATCGGTAATTGGATCAAGGAACATGCCAAGCCTACTCTATAGGCTAGTCTACAAGATCTATAACCTAGCTCTGATACCAACTCTAACGACCCTAAATTTTACCTATTAAATCTAAGGTCATTACTATTCCTTGAAATGCGGAATATACATTAAATGGGCCCTGTTCATAAATGCGACTTACACTCGCCTTTTATTACCTCGTGAAAGAGAAAATGATTACAAGGGAAAGAAAGGAAAAGAACATTATTGAAATGAAGGAAAAGGAACAAAACTGAAATGAATGTCTTATACTACCCTATGGTTTATTATGCAAATACAATTCAACCTATACTAACCTATACTAATGTTGCAAACCGAATTCAACCTAGACTATGAAATGAAAAAAAAAAACAAAACAAGTACCCTATGCATGTGCCACGATCCCACAGTGTACGATGCTGCCGTCGATGTCACATGGGTGCCTTGCCCTTATCTGAAAAAGTAAAGTAGCATGAGGCTTGAGTATTTCTAGATTACTCAGTAAGTGACCCCTTATCGGGGTTATGCAACAATCACACGCAATGAAATGATGGGACCTATCATTTCGTTTCGTTTTTCCTACGGCGCTGTCCTAACGGGTAATCGTGGACGTGTACCATATACTCTACACACAGCCCATACGTGCGAGTATGGGCTCACCAGCTAGTTCGCACACCGCTGGGCCACTTTCCTTATCCGGTGGGCATACTTTAGGAGCCCCTTATGCTGGGACTCGTTAAAACTAGTAACTGTCGTGGCAGCGCTGTGCAAAGCATAACGATCGTTGTCCTGCCATTGGATATACGCGTCCGTACCCTCGTGATGGGATAGGGTATCCCCAGATGCATGAACACACATAATGCATGAGATCCCCCCTACTTCTACATTTATCATTAATGATCATAACCCTCTATCACGTTCCATGCTTCATATCATTCTCATTTTCAATTTACATTTCATACGTATTCCTATCGGGGTTATGATTCCAGACAGTTTACCGTGTTTCATGTCATACAATTCATGTTGTTTACATTCAAATATTTCATACAACCATGCCATAATCACTCAGGAACCACATATCGTCACATGCATAACATATCACATCAAACTAAGCAGCATACATAGCATACATTCACGTTCACATGAGTTCGCACTTAAGCACATTAAACTAACGTACAATTTAATGACACGTGCAAATCCACGGGCACGTGCCAACATACAACAAATAACGAGTATCCTACGACGGGTGAGCCACTTACCTGGTTAGCTTAAGTCGTTGTCATGTATATATCCTTGATGAAAGTTCGATTCCGTCCTTTGAAATCCAAGTCAACCTATGTGAGACCATGACATCAGTTTCAAGTTTGAACTCTATAAAATTATTTCTCTAATTTACACGTTAAAATTTGATATTTCCTGTTAGACAAAATTTAATGGAGTTTCATGCCCTCAGATATTTCCTTTTTTATTTTTAAATTCTTTTCAACAAATCTTCCCTTCTCCTCCTTTGTAATTATTTTCATTCTGTAAATATATTTTTAGTTAAGTAAACATTTTCAATTCTGTAAATAAGATATTCCTCTCATTCTATATTTATTTTCATTCTATAAACAGATATTGTTTGTCAATTTTAATCGATTGTTTGGCTACTATCTTACCGATTTATGGCTACCCACTAAAATTTTATTGATTCTAACCTTATTTCCTATACTTACAATGCTAACAAAAAAAAAAAAAAAAAAAAAATCTAATTAATTGAATATGGGATCTCATTATTACATGATCTAGATCTAGTAAAATATGAAAGAAGATTTGATCCTAAATTGATTTCTTATAACCATAACTATAAAGGAAAAGTCTGAGATAGAATTTTACCCTAATTACAGACCAAAATCTCTCGAGATCTGCATCATATCCTTGTTCAAACACCATTTTACTTTTTCCCAACCTGACAATTTTTTTCTGTTTATTTTTTTTTGATGAATTGTGATATGGTGGGGCTGAGGAAAGAGGATGCGGTTGGGACGAGAGGAGAGTGAGGTGGGTAAATTTTATTTTTATTTTTATTTTTAAGTAATCCTTTTTAGTTATTTAATTATGAATTATTTTTATTTTTATTATTTTGACCGTATATATTTTTTTATAATTATTTTTATTTGTTTATTTATTTTTATTGTTATTATTGTTATTATTATTTTTTGGCTATTACATAAAGTAAAGATCCAATCATATCTCGATAAGATTTTATATCTACCTATTTACCTTTTTCATCCTTGTCAAGCTTAGTAGATGTGCTCATTGGAGTTTTTGCAGTTTTACCCTCATTGAACTTGAACCTTTTGAGTAAATCTGTGGTGTATTTCTCTTGATTTAGGAAGATACCAGTTGTTTGATTTGAAGCCCAAGAAAGAAACTGAGCTCTTCCATCATACTCATCATACATTTAGAAAATTCTTTATATAAAGAAGGATTAGTAGAATCAAATATAATATCATCCACGTGTATTTGCACTAATAACATATCTTTTTCTTAAATTTTAATAAAGAGCGTAGTGTCGAGCTTACCCATTCTGAAATCATTCTTAATAAGAAAATTACTAAGTATATCGTACCAAGCTCTTGGAGCTTGTTTTAAGCCATAAACAGCCTTTTTCAACTTATAGACATGATGTGAAAAATCAAAAATTTCAAATCTAGGAGGTTGTTTTACATGAACTTCCTCCATAATATAACCATTTAAGAATGCACTTTTCACATTCATTTGATATAATATAAATTTTTTTTTATAAGAAACAAATGCAAGTAACATTCTAATAGCTTCTGATCTAGCAACGGGTGCAAAAGTTTCTTCATAGTCTATACTTTCCTCCTGACAATAACCTTGAGCTACAAGTCTAGCTTTATTTCTAGTGAGATTCCCATTTTCATCAATTTTATTTCTAAAAATCCATTTGATTCCAATAATGGAAATATTAGAGGGTTAGTTCTTCTTGCATAGCTAAAATCCAAAACTCATCATTTTCGGCATCCCTTAAGACTTTTTGGTTCAATTTGAGAAAAGAAAAAAACAAGATTATTAAATAAATTAATAGAAGAATGAGTTTTCACACCTTGTTCGGGATCACCAATAATCAAGTCCTTGGGATGAGATGAGGCATACCTCCATACTTTTGGCATAGATGAAGAACCTTTTTCCTTCTTTTCATTTAAGCTCGCCTCCTCTTTACTTGAAAGAGTTTCTTTTCCGTTTTCACTGACAGGTAAATCTCCAAAATTTCTTTCTAAATCATCACTACAAATAGACTCATTAGAAATATCATTACAAGATTTATCAAATACCACATGCATAGATTCTTCTATAACCAAAGTTCTCTTATTGAAAACTCTGTAAACTTTACCGATAGATGAATAACCAAGAAAAATACCATATCTGTCCTAGAATAAAATTTTCTTTGCTTTTATTTGCTGTTCAAAATAAAACATCTGCAACCAAAAATTTTGAAATACCAATATTTGGAATTTTATTATGCCAAAGTTCACAAGAGTTTTATCTATACAGGGTCTAATTAAAACTCTATTTGAAACATAACAAGCGGAATTAACAGATTCCGCCAAAAAATATTTAGGTAAATCATATTCATTTAACATCGATCTAACAAATTCTTGTAAAGTACGATTTTTTTTCTTTCAACCACACCGTTTTGTTCAGGAGTCTTTGGACAGAAGTCATGATAAAAACCATTATCTTTACAGAAATTTTCAAATGCTACACTATCCAATTCTCCTCCATAATCCTCCTAATTTTAGTAATTAAAAAAAACCTTTTTCATCTTGAACTCCTTTTACAAAACTAGCAAATCTTTTCAAAACATCATTTTTATGTTTTATCATCAAAACCCAAGTAAATCTCGAAAAATCATCAACTAAAAGTACATTTTCAGAGAGAGTACCAGCACCTATAGTACCGTTTTCAATTATTTTACCCTTCTTGTTGTCACCAATAGTTACTAAGCCACCATCCTTCTTGGAAAGACTCACAAACTTGGATTGGTTTCCCAGAGCAATCACTTTCCAAATACCACTTATTTTTCTTGGAGGCTTTCAAATAAACCTATAAACAATAATATTCAAAGTTGACATTTTGGTACCCATACTTGTTTGGGTTCTAACAAGTTAGTTTTCACAAATTTAGGAATCATGTGTGCATTCATATGAAAAAACTGAGCAAACTGCGCTAGAGATTTGGTGAAGATGTCTCCAAGCTGTTCCTCAGTTCAAATAAAATCAATCTTGATGAGCCCCCGATCTGCACATTGCCGGATGTAGTGAAATCTGATTTCTATGTGCTTGCTCTGGTCGTGGAAAACTAATTTTTGATCTGGGAGATCGTAGCTTTGTTGTTCATATAAAGCATTGGTGGATCGTCTTCTTTTCCGATGAGTTCTTCCATCAGTCACGCAAGCCAGACCCCTTGTATCACTACCGTCGAAGCGGCAATGTACTCTGCTTCGCAAGAAGATGAAGCAACTACCTTTTAGTTAGTTGCCGGTAGATTGCGCCGCCTGAGAAGAGGTAAATCATCCCACTGTGCTCTTACGATCATCAACGTCACCGGCCATGTCACTATCACTGTAGCCGACCAGCTCAAGCTTCTCCCTTCCTCTCCCTGCGTAGTATCTCACACCCCAGCCTCTGGTTCCCACCACATAATGCAGGATGCACTTGACAGCCACAAGATCTCCTCCCTAGGTGCTTCCATAAACATACTCACGTATCCAACGGAATAAGCAAGGCTAGGGCGTGTGTTTACCAGATAGTGCAGGCTCCCGACAATGCTGCGGTAATTGGTGGAGTCGACTGTCGTTGTAGTGCTGACTTTCCTCAGTTGGAGTCGGGCTTCCATTGGCTTCCTTGTAGGGTTACTATTTACAAGCCCAGCTATGTCCAACAACTTCTTTGTGTACGCACATTGACAAATGGTGATGCTGGCAGTACTCTGTTGCACTTCAATGCCGAGGTAGTAGCTGAACACTCCGAGATTGCTCATCTTGAAGTTCTTTGACATCTCCCTCTTGAATATTCCGAGAACTTTCATGTCGCCTCCAATGATTATGAGGTCGTCGACGTACACTCCCACGATCAGTCGCTGCTCGCCGTGACCGTGCTTCTACATGTCATGCTCAGAGGCACAACGCTTGAACTTCAGCGACAATAGGATACTGTCAAGCTTCGCGTTCCAGGCTATGGTGCTTGCCGAAGCCTATAGAGTGCCTTGTGCAAGCGCAATACCTTGCCAGGGTTGTGGTTCTCTAGGAAGCGTGGTAGTTATTAGACATAGACGGTCTCCTTCAGCTCTCCGTTGAGGAATGCAGACTTCACGTCTATGTGGTGGACCTCCCAAGAATGATGTGTCGTGATTGCCAGCAATAGGCGGACAGATTCCACCCTTGCCGTGCCTGAATACCTCCTCGAAGTCCATTCCTTACTTCTAGACTAGTCCTTCGCCACCAGATGGGCCTTGTGTTTCACAACTTCTCCCTCTGAAGACACATTTGAGCCCTATGGCTTAGGGTCCTGGCGGCATATCCTCTAGACTCCATGTCTTATAGTCAGTGATAAACGTCATCTCTTCTTGCATCATTCTGCCAGCACGGGTTCCTTTCGAATGACTCCTAAAGTGTTCAATTCATCTGCGCTGATGACATGCAGTTCATCCACCTCTTGTTCGAGCTCGCGCTCCCCTATTCTAGGTGATTCACCTCCTCCCACTAGGTCTTCCATCCTCCAGTACCTAGCCACCAGATCATCATCATGATCGGCATCCAGCGATGAATCTGCAGTACGTGGTGTTGCGATGCTGCACTCCTCCATCTCTCGGTTTGATGATTAGGTACTCTACCTTGAATTGATTTGGATTTTGGAATGCCTGGGTCACATAGTTAATGAAGACGACCTTCAGCCCCCTAGGATCGAGCTTGGCGAGATAGGGACGCGCTACCTTCATGTATGCGACGCAGTCGAACACTCGAAGATGAACCCACATAAAACTTAAACTACATAAAACTCTCTCACCTCCTCTATAAAGTTTAGCTCTCCATACAAGCTGAATTAAACAGAGGAACCCACATCTCAATCGTATTAAATTGTTAGAATAAGAAATTCCCTTCCTGTAAGGAATTACAAATTTATCCAGCTTTGTTGTTGTTCTTCAATGGAAGTTCCCTTCCCTTGAGCTCTCACATCCACCTATCTGCCCCAATCAATCCTTCACATCCACCTCTCTGCCCCAATCAATCCTTCTTGGTTTTCTTTCCCTTCTGCTGTCAAAAACGGTTGGATTAGGGTTTTGTTCTTCTTCTTTTATTTCACATCCGTTCACTGCAGCAGAGGCTGCTGCTGTCTAATCCGAAAATCTGCTTTCTAAAGTGTGACTCTCCTCCTTTTTTAGGTATCATTTTCCTTTTATAATGTTGTTTCTTCTTATTAAGGGATGAGAAAGGATAAAAGCATCTACCTAGGATGTTTCTAATTTGATAGTCAATGACCCACGTGGATTGCTAATGTGGATTAAAATTTCCATGTCATCCCCAAAAAGTTTGATTTCCGAATTGCTTCAGCATTACGGTCAGCAATTTATTTACAGATTTGCAAGTAGTGTTGTTTCCAAATTTACTACAACATCATGGTACAACATTTATGTTCTGGAAGTTTTCCAAATAACTCAATTAAGTATACAATTAAGCTTGATTTATGCAAATCGATATTTTTTTCATATTAAACCACAATCGACTATTTCATGTATACTAATTAGAATAAATGGTGAGTATGAGTGCAAAATTAACTCTAAAAAGACATGATATAACTCAACTTTTGGAGAGTTGTCAGCATAATCAATTTCTTCTTGGTTGATATTTTTCTCCATGTTTTCTAGCCTAAGTAGGTGATTTGCTACATGAATTTTAGCTCCCTTCGTATCCAATATTTATATCTCAAATTCTTGTAGTAGTAGAATCCATCCGATTAATCTTGGCTTGGCATTAAATTTCATCATTAGGAGATTGATTGTCCTATGATTAGTGAGCACTTTTACATTTGGCTCCAAATAAATAAGCTTGGCAATTTTCAACATCAAAAACTACAGTTAGCCGCTCTTTTTCATTTGTTGTATAATTCACTTGAACTTCATTCAATATTTTGCTTCAATAATAGTTAGGATGAAGTACATTTTCGTTCTTAAGCTCTAGCATTTCTCCTATAGCTTGATCACTAGCATCTCATATTAATTCAAATGGTGTTATAGCATTGCCCCTATAACCTAATCAATACTAATTCAAATGGTGAATTATAGTCGAGGTTGACATTATAGAGTTATAGTTTAACCTGTCTTTAATGCTTTAAAAGCTATCCTGCATTGTTCATAAAAAATGAATTTCCTATTATTTTTCTCCAACAAGTGGCATAAAGGTTATTCTTAAGAAGTCCTTAATAAACCTCCTATAAAACCGTACATGGCTTAAGAAACTTCTTATTCCTTCAAAAGAAGTACGTGGATTTAGTTTTTCAATGGCTTCAATCTTGACTCTGTCCACTTTTATTCCTATTCTCGATATGTTGTAGCCTAGCATTATCTCTTCATTGACAATGAAATGACATTTTTTTCCTATTTAGTACAAGATTTTTCTCCTTTGCACAAAGAAGCCATCCATGAAAATCTCCATACACATTTCCACCATGTCTTTAAAATAGCAATCATACATCATTGGAATGTTGCTAGAGTGTTAAATAGCCTAAATGGCATCATTCTATAGGCAAAAACATCAAGTAAGCCTTATTTAATAGCAATCTTCAATCCATTATAGGAAGTCTCCATATGGATACAATGGGGTAGTCCATGGTGAAAATATTTTTCAACTCCCAAGCTTCACATAATGTTTTAGCTTCAAATGGTTGATAACAAACAATTTCATTTCTAAACCATGCATTTCTAGTTGGTGGGAAGTACTTGATAAATAAATTCTCTACAAAACTATTTCAAGAATTAATTTCTCCTCATGCTAAGGTGTTTAACAATGATTTAGCAGCAACACTTGGAGAACAAGGGTCTAAACTCATTTTAATTACATATTTATCCACCCCTTTGAATCATAATAGCTCACCGTAAAAAATAACTTTACATGTAGGTGGAGAATTTTTAAGGGTACTCCATAATGTTGCCGAATGGTTGAAGCATTTAAAGCATCACGAACGGTAGCTTTAAAGTAGTTGCTTGCATTTTAGGTCTATTAAGTAATAAGTAAATTATCGATTCCATGAAGAAACATTTTTTGTTGAGTCACTTTCGTGGTTGAAAATTAAGTGACTTTAAGAGTCATTCGAATGTGTATTGATGAGTGTAAAATCTTTAAATATAAGATATGAAGAGTGGCAACTCAAAATAGAGATCAACCAAAAAATCAATCATATTTAGGAAGGTTGGGCTAAGAGAGCTTAAATAGATAAGAGAAACCACTCTAGGTAAAGTTGTCAACTAAATAAATATGTAGATTACTAATAGTAACTCTTTAATAAACTAAAATCACACCGTCCACATATTTTAACTACATAAAACTCTCTCACCTTCCCTACACGGTTTAGCTTATCGTGCACACTGATTTAGCTCACCATACACATTGATTTACACACAGGACTCAATATCTTAATCATAAAAAAATTAATAGAATAAAAAAAGAGAGCAAGTGATTAGAGAGTTATATTTACTTCAACGGAAGTTCCCCACTCTTGTCTTAAGCTATCCTTCTCACTCTTTTTTTTTTTTTTCTTCTGCTGTTATCAGCTACTAAATTAGGGTGTTTTTTTTCTTGTCCTCTCTTGATTTTAGCAACAGGAGCCACCTATGCTTTTACCCTTTTTTTTTATTCTGTATTTTCTTCTGCCTTTGTTGATTGGCCTCTCTTTTTGGCAACCTTTCGTTTTTATATGGTTTATTTCTTCCTATTTAGGGTTGAAAAGTGATTAGTCATCCACATAAGCAGCCTTTCTATTATGCAAACAATAATTAGTATGGCATGTTGATTGAGATTAGAATTTGTTGCAAAAATTAAATGTTTCAGCAAACGTCATCCTAATCAGATTACTCCAAGATTTGTTGTAGTATTATGATTAAATTCTCAACTAGAATGCCTTCATGCAATTTGATCACCTTTTCATATTGAACTATAATGAACTATTTCGTGGTATGCATATGTTTTTATCCCTGAAATTCTTTTATCATTTTAAGATTATATTATTTTTTTATTCAATAAAGTTTAATATTTTGATCCCTAAACTTTTTTAAGAAATAAGAGGTGCTCTCAACATTAGCTCCCGAAAAATATAGTAAGAGAAGCATTTGTGCTCTTTTTTAGCCAATGACGAAGTTTCTTTGCAATTCTATGTAGTTTAGGTTGCATGTAGAATCAATTTTGCTTGTGGTATGTAGTTTAGGTTGGATGTAGAATCAATTTTGCTTGTGGGGTGATTTGAATCTCAAACAATGTTTTTGCCTTGAGATATTGTTGAAATTTTGGGTGGGATTCAAAAAATATGTCAACAACAGAATTCGAACCTAAACGCGAAGAGTTTAATTGATTTCAGAGCTCAATTGATTTCAAACCTGTCGCATTAACCACTCAAGCACATCAGCATTTATTAGCAAAAAACTATTTTTAATTTCACCAATTATGTAAAAGTCAAATGGTCAATTTGACTTATTCTTTTGTGGAGATTAAAGGGGATTGGGAATAAATCTCATCCACAAACGTCTTTTGTCGGGAGACTATAAATACCCACAATATGTTATGTAAAATTCAGATTCATGGATGAATGTAATTCAAATCTCAAATTGAGACATTTGCCTTAGAAATCCGAGCATCATATTTGTCATTTCTAAGTTTCAAGCAATTTTTGTGGTAGAATTGCACCCGAGCCATTCAATCAAGCCTTAATCAAGTTAGATTGTGGAGTGACTCAATTTAGAACAAGGTTCCAAATCTTGCTTCTAGATCTTCGATCATAAGAGGTATCTAATTCTAGCCTTATCTCTTGGTTGATCCAAATTTCGTATAAGGAGGTGTTAATTACTTTAATTCAAGGGTTCTTGCTAAAACAAAAGCTTGGATCGTTGGGTTGACAATTAGGGTTGCCTTGTCAACAATTTAGTAATTTAGAGTTATTGTATCTCATTAATGTATTTTAAGACATTTTAGTTACTTTAGGCTACAATTACATCATTGTTAATTATGGCCATTAAGTATGAATGTTATAACTCTTGGAATGTCTTTAATAGTTTCATTTTGAGGCTATATAAAGTCATGTATGTTGTATTTGTAAGTAGACTTGGAAATGTAGTAAAAAAAGTTGTGTGCTTTCTTTAGCCAATGGCTAAGTTTCTTTGCAATTCTATGTAGTTTAGGTTGCATGTAGAATCATTCAAGCTCGACATGATCAATCTTGCTTGTGGAGTGATTCGAATCTCAAGCAAGTGTTCTTGCCTTGAGATATTTGATCAACAAGAATCATTCAAGCTATAGACGTGATCAATCTTGCTTGTGGAGTGATTC